CGCCTCGAGGGCGCCGCCCCTCTGCCCGGAGCCGCGCTCGGGGTTCGCTCTAGCGCGCGCCGTTCCTAATGCTAGTGTTTCTGCGCAGCTTCAAACCTGGAAAAGCCAGTTGCCTATGACAAAGGTTCTGAAATGAAGCCTCATACTTTAATATAGTGGAAAATATCTATTTTCTATAACTTCTCCAAGTACCAATTTAAAAGTTATTTTGTTTATCATTTATTGCCTCTTGTTTCTCACGATGAATGTTACTATTATTCCCATAGTAACAATTTGTAGTTAAATTTAATATATGGGAAGAACAAAAAAACCCCAGTTCTTTAATTTGTCTAATACCTCTTTATAAGATAAAGGAAATTACATTCTATTGGTATCATTTTGATTTGTTTTGGTTTTAGTATGTACTTCTTATGAAATTTTGAATCATCTTAAAGGATATAAGAATTCTGTGTTTGACAAAAGGGAGTAGGTGAAAATATTGCATATAAACCACAGAAAACAGGAGCAAATTAGAAGAAATTTTAAGAAATTATAAGAAATTATAAATAAGAAGTCCAACATCTGGAATTGCTATTATTTATATGAGGTCCTGTTGTAGGACATACATTTATTTTAGGACAAAGTCAGAATTGCGCACATAAAATACTTCTGCTTAGGCCTACAGTTTAAAACACTTATGGTTATAAATCTAGAAATTTATGTCCCATATTTCTCAGATAAGTAAATTAACATTTCTTTTGAATCTGCATATACAATCTTTGCTCTAAATTGAGGCTCAGTTAAAATTCACTAACGTAGAATGCATAATTTAAGTCATATACCAACTTCCACAAGCCACATCATTTTCACTCTTAAATTATGTTGGAGGCTGCATATTTGGAAATTGTCTTAACTAAGCTTCCTTTCAAAAAAAATTCATGCCCACACTCCTCAGATATATAAAGTGACATTCCTATTTAATTAGGAATTCCTAATTAAATTCCTATTTAATACAAACAGTAAATAATATTGATAAAAGCTATTATTTATTGTTAAATATCTCTACTTAATTTGCTTATGATTGTTGACAACTCAAAGACATATATCCATTCAGGGTAATATTGAATAAAATTTGGTAAAGCCACACGATGCTGAGATTATCCAGAAATAAGAGATCTGAAAACTAAAGTAAGACTGGCAACATCTACATCACTGTTTGGGACATGTTAAAATATCATGTGTGTGACCCTGCATTGTGACTAATTTGATAATAAATATCATGCATGCTGTGTTAGAATGAGAGTAAACATAGTGTTTGAAGCCTTCCCTACCAAACACTAAGCATGTTATTTCTAGTTTTTCATTTTTATCTACTAACAAAACACCATTTCAAAGATCACATGGATTTAAGATGAACCTTGTATCAGAGAAACCTAAGAACTGAATTTGTTAGTGCCTTAAGTAAATTATACTAATGAGCACACAAATGAATATTTACCATTGACCAATGCTTTCAGTGCCTTTTCATAATCTGCAAGAAAAAAAAGCGTATCATTGATCACAATCTATAAAATAATGTCATGAATTTCAATTTAACAAACTAGGATGATGTATTAATTATCATTAAAATTATTCTTATGAAGAATGTCAATAAATAAATTTCTTTTTATGTCCTCTAAGTATTAAATTATTTTAGTTATTGTAACCATGAAGCCATCTTGTTTTATCAGAATAATGCCTTAAAAGCTATTAAAAGCCTAACATGTTAAAAGGCCTAACACGTTCAAAATTTTGACCAGTAATTATTGGGAGTTTATCTCAATAAAAAGAGATAAAAGTACATACAATAAAAAAAAAGAAAAAGAAAAAGAAAAAAGTCTTAATTAGATTAAAGCAGAATACAGTATTCAATAAAGTTTAATGAAAATAAATGATGTACTTTTAAACCTTATAACTTAGCAACAATATGAAAAGTTGGGTTCAGTGAAATCTACATAGAGCAGCATGAATGATATTTCTTTTCTACATTATTTCAAGGTTCCAAAGAAAATGATTTCACTGTCTACATGTATTTCTGCTCTCTAATGCAGCTCAGAATTTTCCAATGAGGAGCTAGTGAAAGCCTCACATGGGTTCTCGGATTCATTATCCTGCCCGTCAGCTATGTGATCACTGTATTGATAAAGTCTAAGTCCACGTGACTGACAATGTCTGCCCTGCCCACTCTTAGCTGCTGAATTACACTCACTTCACTGCAGATATAAAACTTGTTCTGCCAACTTAAATGTTTTTCTTCCATCTTCATTATGAAGAACATAAACCAATAAATGGGGCTTAATATATTTTATAATGACTGATATAAAAAAAATAGTGAACATGAATGCTGAAAATATGGGGAAAAAAAATGAAAAATTCCTAGAGATTTTAAAATGGTTTACACTTATTTTTCTCTAAAATTATCCAATGTATGATTAGATCTAATAGCCCTAAAGGCCTGTTATCTCCTGGGAGATAAGTGTCCCCAGAAACTCACCTACTACACATGTTTTTTTGCACTCTTCCAGGGTTTCAAATCGATTCTTATTTCCTCCGCATCCCCCATATATAAATTCTTCACATTGTTGAGTGCTACTGTTGAAAAAATAGTTCCTCAGAAATGCTCTGCATGGGCCAGTCTCCTCTCTATATGCACAAAATCGATGTACAAGCCTCAGCGATGGTAAATTAGACACTGCAAAGTAAAAATAAAAGCTATAACATATAATCCTTCACCAACATTGTAATAATGTTCTTTGTTTCCTTTTTGTTTCCTTTTTAATAGTTCCAACTTTAAGAAAAGGTCCAATAAAACAGGCTGATATAAGAAACCATAGAAAGTTATTCATAGCTATCAAAAAGATAAAGTTTATAAACTCACCAAATGAGACAGGTTTTAATAAGCAACTATTAAAGGAAAATGTAGAATAACTTTTCTAGACTTATTACTTAAACTTGTACCAGCTGACCGACGTGGAATTAAGTCGTAATTGTAAGGTAACTGATGTAGAGATCTCTTTTTTAATTCAGCCATTTTTTAAAAAAATTATTTTATTTTTCTATCACCATTTATTCCCTCTGTGCCCTCTTGCACCTCCGCCCCCCTCCCCGGCCTTGCAATCGCCACCCTGTGTCCAAGTCCACGAGCTCTGTCTTTTTCGTTTTGCTCAGCCCCTGACCCCCACCAGAGCTGTCTGTCTGCTGTCTGTCTATGAGTCTGTCTCTAATTTGCTTAGGAGTTCAGCTTGTTCATTAAATTCCACATATGAGTGAAACCATGTGGTACTTTTCTTTCTGACTGTGATCCAGCCATTTCTAAGGGCCGTCATCAATAGATAGTTCTTCGAGTGCCCCTCCCTAATCCACAATTGTGTCGCTTTTTGCACACAAAACAACTCTTTAAATGCAATAGTGTATTCATATTCATATACATGTATATATCATGCTTATTATGAAAATTTCCTAATTATGAAAATTTTGGTGTTTGACCAATCTACCTATCTCAGGGTAAATTTATTTTGCTTATCATGATTTTTTTTAGCAACAATTGAAAAAACATAATGCTTTTTATGTTTTAAAATAAAGTGAGGCAATTCTCTGGACTTTGAGTTATAATTTTTTCCTAAATATTCAGTCACTTAATTTTAATCACAAGAATTTTCTGTATCGGGGAGGAGGGATTTGTACATAAGAAAACTCAACTAAAATTTTTAAATTTGATTTTTATCAAGTCTAATAATATTAACAGAGGCCTAATCTTAAATAAATTGCATTTGTTTATGGAACACCAGTAAGAGTGAAAACTGTGATTGGTACAAAATGACTTAAACCAATTTTCCCTTTAGGGGGCAGCATTGTCCTATTAAATTAAAACTGATAACTAAATATCTTCAAAAGTGTTTCAAAGCACTATAAATAATTTACTTTGAAAAAAGAAACATGAATGCATGTCACTNTAAATATCTTCAAAAAAGTGTTTCAAAGCATTATAAATAATTTACTTTGAAAAAAGAAACATGAATGCATGTCACTTTAATATTTTTATATAAAATATTTTTAAAACATGATATAAAATATAAGTTTGTAAATGTATCATCTTCTAGAAGGAAAACCAATTTTAAATTTCCTGTAGTTTTAAAACTGNAACTAAATATCTTCAAAAGTGTTTCAAAGCACTATAAATAATTTACTTTGAAAAAAGAAACATGAATGCATGTCACTTTAATATTTTTATATAAAATATTTTTAAAACATGATATAAAATATGTTTGTAAATGTATCATCTTCTAGAAGGAAAACCAATTTTAAATTTCCTGTAGTTTTAAAACTGAATTTTCAAAAGAGAAAATATGCATATCATAAAAGTTGAATTGGATAATTTTATCAAAACTGAATTTTCAAAAGAGAAAATATGCATATTATAAAAGTTAGATTGGATAATTTTATCAGCTCTCTCCTACCCTGCATATTTTTGTCAAATAATCAGTTGAATTAATGTCAAGCATTAGCCATATTTAAGTAATGTTAAAATTCTTCATAAGAAATTAACTGAAATGTTATTTTTAATTTCTTATGAGTCATAAAATGGTAAGTCGGCCTTGCGATCTTGGAATGGTTAAAATATGGCTTTTTATACATAAGTTGGTATTGTGCTGCTTGATTCATTCGACACCTTGGATGCACATGTGAATTTTATCTCACCCACCAATGCAGCTTTTAATTTTTAAAAATATGAGTATAATTTACAAAATACCACATCACCCTTTTGATTACTTTGATAACAGAACTGACTATTCTTGTCAATTAAAATAAATTGAACAGAAATTATAAAGCAATAAACTTTTAGACTTAAAATTTAATAAGGTAGATAACATGTAACAGATTTATAATAACACATAGATCTTTATCTACAAAAGACAGCACCAAGCCTAAGTTGCCATATGTATTCAAAAAACCTTTTTCTTATAAATCAGTAATTTTTGAGATGCATTCTCATTGATGATCCCTCTAGTTTTTACTCTTAATGTATTTTATAGTCCTTTATCATCACGCCAAATCTTTTACATTTCCCCTATTAAGGTTATACTCCCCCCAAGTTCAACATGCTATATAGCATTTGTGCCATCAGGGGGCGGCAGTGCACCACAAAAATGAGAGTACGGCCTAGTTGTCATTATACTAGGAATAACGGCTGAATGTTTACTGAGTAATCACTGTTCTTCAGATATTTTGTAATTATGTCATTTAACTATCACAACAAACTTACGAGTTAGGCATTATTATCTCCATTTTACAGTTTATAAAATGGCATGCAGAAATTAATTGCTCAATTTGTGCCATAAATGATGACTTGAATCGTCCCCACGTAGTTTTACAGAAGGTATCTCGCACATTCTTAATAACTGCGTGATATTGCATGACTGAGATTCATAAATTGACACTTAGTTAAAGCATATAGACTTCATTATATAATTTCCAATCATTTCTTTTTCTAAAATTCATCTTATAGAAACTAAAAAAACTTTTAATGATGAAAGTAGGTGATGATTTTACACCAATGTCCTAAGGAAAACACTAAGAGCTGACCTTTATTAACTACATTTTATTAACGATCAGCTAATTTTTCACCTCTACATTCACATCTTGATGTCTTTTTCTTCATGAATCCTGAATTTTGCGCAGTGAGCTTGTGACCCACACTTGGGCGCAGCAGCCCTGAAGTGGGGGAGTGGGATCCCGTCTCGTTTTCATTTCTTAACTTGGATGAACCTCTTTGAGAGTCAGTGATCCTGTGTTGATGGTGCGTCAGGCACGGTGCTGGCTCAGCAGATACGATGGCCGTCAGCACATTTGGTGGCAGCGGCCCCCTCTTTCACGGGGGACTCAGATAGTCAGAAAGTTGAGGGTGCTGTGCAAGTGTGTAATGAGATACTTTAGCTTGTCTGAAGGGGTCCGGGAAAACTTTGCTGAGACTTGAAGGACAGACAGCGACGAGGATTGATCTAAAGCCGTGAGGCTGGAAAACACATCCGGGGAATGCCACAGGAATTTCATGTGATGTATAAAACATACAAATGTGGTTTATATTTAACCATTTTGGTCACTGACTTCTTGTATTTTATGTCTCTGTCCGAGGATCATAATCTTACTCTCCCACCCCCGTCCTGGGATGCTGGATGGAATGCGCATGATAACCGTGCGGGGCCTGTGTCCTTGACTGTTAGAATCCACACTGTCCTGGGACTTGTTTGGGAACCTAGGGCTTAAGGCAACGTACTAAGAATCTCCGTGTTTCTTCGCTCCCTGACCAGAAGGTTAAATTTCTCAGAGAGGAAGAATGCAGACACGTGCTCTTTGCCTTCTCTGTGTCAGGAAGTGTGTCTGATGCTTTTTGCAGTTGATATAACAATGGTGAGATCATGGATGTTTGCATCACTTATTCAGAGATGAGGCCACTGGGAGTCAGGGGGTTTATGGAACTCGCCTAATTTTGCAAAGCTGCTGTGGGGCGGACCTGAGCAAGCTTCGGTCTGTCTGATTCCACACCTTGTAAAAGATAACCTGCCTTTCTCTGCACACTCCCTGCTAATCTTTCTCTCGTCCAAAGAATTTTTTTTTAAAAGCTTATCACCATTGTTTTTATCATTACAATTTCTGTGTTTTTGAGAAGTTTATTTCTTCCTCCGAGCAGGTTGGACTGATAAAAAATAGTTGGCCAATGACTTGTGAGAGAAGCAATGAAATCTTGTGTGTTCTACAAAATGATAGGATGTCATTTTAATGAAATAGTGTAATTCTTTAAAATGACCTTGGCATAATGTGATACGTGATATCTCCAGAACCGAATGGATTCAGATGTGGAAACATGGTATTACAAGATTAATTAAAAAAAAGCAGCCGAAACTGGAAAAGATGGCACAGCTGTCAGCTGTGGTCTTCAAGTCTAGCTTTAAAATCAGTTCTGTTCCTTCTCCAGCGGGGTTTGGTCTGGAGAGATCCAGAGATTTTAAGCTTCAGCCTGGTCAGTGACAGGTCAGTCCCGGCTCCAACAATTTCAGGAGCCCCCGGCTGGCTGCCGTGCATTTGCTCCGTCTAATTGAGGGAGATTGGACTCGTCGAATATTGCAAACACCTGCACCCTTCGCCTCCCACTGCTCAGGAGGGGGGTGGGTGATTTTCCNATTGAGGGAGATTGGACTCGGCGAATATTGCAAACACCTGCACCCTTCGCCTCCCACTGCTCAGGAGGGGGGTGGGTGATTTTCCCCTGTGGGTTCTTATTTTCCCTCCCATATCCCTTCTCTCCCCGATCTCCAGAAGAGTAGAACTCTAGCCATCTCTTTGGAGAAATGAACCAAATGAAGGATTGGAACTCATCTAAAAATGACCAAATTCCTCTTTTTATAAGACACATTATGGTTTTTATTTTATTAAGTAATGTGCCATATTTAAGAATTTGCATAACTTTATATATGGTCACTGGCATATATCAATAGGCCTTTATTGTGCATTTCTGGGTAGGATGTGAGTGACCCTGTTGATGCTAGCTGGGTTTGCCTCTCACCCCCTGGTGTGCTGGGCTCATCTAGTGTGGGCCTGCATGGGTCTCTGGGCTTCAAGAGGTGGATCCAGCTGGTGCAGATCTTCCGATCCGCCCAAAGTGCCTCATTTTTAGCTTCAGGCTGAAGCAATGTAGCATGTCCCACTTGGCCACTTCCCCATGCCCAGCTCTCAATCGCCAGGCTCGGATGAGCTCCCTTCCTCTTTGTATCAACAGCAGTGCCCTGTGCATGTCTCCATCACTTTCTTTAACACACTGTACTGAAATAACCCATCTACCCTTCAGTCTCTTGTGTGAAACCGAGATTCCTGAGAACCTGGGGTCAGTCACCACTGCTTCCCTAGCACCTACCACAGTTGCAGGCATAAGTATTATTCAGTCTTTATCAATGAAAGTGCACTGAACCAAATCACTTTAAACAGCTGTTAGAGATATGAAATAAGGATGTATTTATAGAGATCTTAAACACACGTACAAGCTATCACTTTGTTCATAATCTCACTATTGCCAATGACTTGAGATTTCTATCAGTTTACTCATTTGCCACAAAATATTACTTAAGAAAGAAATCTATAATAATAATGGCTGTATAGTCTTTTCCTTGTTCTATTGTTTTATTGTCAATATTTTATGTCTGAACACAGAGCTGTATGGGATTAGAACTGATTTCTACTGCCCAGATATCCTGGTGTCCCACCTGACTAGAGTCTCACATCGGGCTCGTCTGGGAAGTTCTTATTTTGGGAATAAAAGCAAAGAAGAGAGAATGGCTGAAACTTCAGAGGTCTGTGGTTTCCTTCTCCCTCTCACAGGGTGACATCAAAGGGTGACATCAAAGTTCATAGAAAGTTGTTTGTAGAGCCTATTGTTCCTCTCAATGTGTCAGAAATAACTCAGTGGTTAGTGTTATAGCCTGAAAAACAACAACAAAACCCCACATCTTTCTTGCTGATGTGACTTCTTTTTGTGCACTACGGCCTTTTGTGTTTGTTTTAACACCTCACATTACATGTAAGACATTGCCTAAGAAAAAATGTCACTTTGATAAAACTAATTTTCCTATACAATGGAAAGCTCTATATCAAATTTTTGGATTCCAATTAAGAGCTTTGACTAGCATAAAAAATAAGAATGCTGCTAACGTTTTACCTGTAGTGTCTAGGTAGTCCGGATAGTCTTCATCATCCTCATAATCAACATTAAGATGGACAGAGGCACAACTAAGTAGCAGACACACAGACGCCCAGAAAATCTGTTTTTTCTTCATTGTATAAGTCACCTCTGCAACACAGAACCCAGATATATCTGATAAGTAACGAGCTGATGTGGGATCACCAGTGGAGTAGCAGGAATCACATGCATGCCTCCAAATGTAAAGTTTGACCTCTAATGGGTATTCTCACATCTCTCTGTTCACTAATTTCATGACACACGTATTCAGTGAATGTATCTAATAGTATCAAGTGCACAGGTCATATTTCAACCTTGAAAATACAAAGTAAAATGGCAATAATTGAGAGACACGGGTAATTGCTGGTCAACCTAGCTAAGTATGCATTAAGATCCATTTTCATATGCAATTCTATTTGCCACATTTTTCTCATAGCTATTCTTCTTTCTCAGTAATAATTATATTTTAATTTTTCTTGATTTTTTTATTATTAATGTAACTTTCAGTTCCTGATCTGTCTTTTCCTTTGCTCTGGTTCTTCTCTTAAAAAAAGAAACACATTTTCCAAATTGTGACCTTTGTTTCCTTTAAAATATATTTCTGTTTTTATAACCAAGTTCCTAACCAGGCCTTCTATGAAATAGCACACAGAGCTGCCAGAAAAAAAATGTCTAACATTCTAGCCAGACCTTTATCCCAGGTCTTCTACCCTCAACTTGGGGAGTTACCTGATTCAAATGAGTTTCACAAAGTGATTTTAAGTGATAAACTAACACACTGACACTCTAAGGGAAACAGATATCTGTAGGAGAGTCATATTTCCTATTTCAAAATGACTTAAAGATCCATAGCAAAAAAATAATGAAAAGGCATATTTAAATTTTTTTAAAAAAAGGCCATTTCTTCTTTGGATTCAAAGGTAAAAAAAAAAAAAAAGTGTAATGTTCATATAGCATTATAGGAAGAGAAAAAGGAAGGACCATGTCAGCCACTGGTGCTGCCACAGGCAGGGAGGAAAGAGAACTCCTACCAGTGAACATTCACAAATGCAGGAACAGATGGTCCATCAAAGACAAGGTAGAGAATTCCGGGTTTATATATATATATAGTGAATACAGCTACAATACACACTTTTAAGGTGTGGGCAGCCATATAATAAATAATAAAGTAATAAATTCCATTTTGCTTTAAGATTCATTAAAATCACTAATGAATTCTAACGTATTTTCCTGTTATGCTTTGGAAATGTTAAGGACAGGAACAATGCAAGGATGGGCAGTATTGTCACTTCTGTTTAACATCATATTGCAATACTAGTCAGAGCACTTAGGCAAGGAAAAGAAATAAATGCCATCCAAATTGGAAAGGAAGGAGTAAAACAATTATAACTTGCAGACGACATATGTAGAGAAGCCTAAAGACTCCATCAAAAAACTGTAACAACTAATAAATTCAGTAAAGTTGCAGGATACAAAATCAATACACAAAAGTCTGTGGCACTTCTATACACTAATAAACTATCAGAAAGAAATAAAATAGTAATTTCATCAAAAGAATAGAATATCTAGAAATAAACTTAACCAAAGATATGAAAGGCCTGTATATTGAAAACAATAGGATATTAACAAAAGAAATTGAAGAAGACACACATAAATGTCAAGATGTTCTGTGCTTGTGCATTGGAAGAATCAATGTTGTTAAAATGTCCATAATACCCAAAGCAATCTATAAATTCAATGCAATTCCTATCAAAATTCTAATGCCATTTTTAAAAATGCAACAAATAATCCTATAATTTGTGTGGAATGACAAAAATCCCCCAACAACTAAAATAATCTTGAGAAAGAGACAAAACCAGAGGTATAATGTTCCCTAATCTCAAACTATACTACAAATCGATGGTGATTAAAACAGTAGGGTGGTGGCATAAAAACATAGGTTGATGGAATGGAATGGAGAGCCTAGAAATGAACCCCGACATGTGTGGTCAATTAATTCATGATAAAGGAGCCAGGAATATACAGTCTCTTCAATGCATGGTGTTGGAAAAACTAGACCACTATCTTACACCATAAACAAAAATCAACTCAGTGTGGGTTCAAGACTTGAACATAAGACCCAAAACCACAAACCTTCTAAAAGAAGATAAGGGGAAACCCCTTGGATAGGTCTTGGTAATCTGACACCAAAAGCCACACCAACAAACGCAAAAATAAAGCAGTGGGACTACGTCACGCTACACAGCTTCTGCACAGCAAAGGAAGCCATGAAAAAATGAAAAGGTAACCTACTGAGTGGGAGAAAATATTTGCAAATCATATATCTGACAAGGGGCTAATGTTTAAAATACATAAAGAACTCAAGCAATTCAATAACAAAAATACAGCCTGATTAGAAAACGGGCAGAAGAGCTGAATAGATATTTTTCCAAAGAAGACATAAGACAGGTGGGCAACAGGTAAATAAGACAATGCTCAGAATTATTAATCATCAGGGAAATGCAAGTCAAAACTACAATGAGACATCACCTCACACCTGCAGAATGGCTATTATCAAAAAGACAAGATCTTGTTGGAAAGGATGTGGAGGAGAGGAATCTTCCTGCACTGTTGGTGAAAATGTAAACTGGTGCAGCCGCTATGGAAAGCAGTATGGAGGCTCTTCAAAAATATAAAAAAAGAACTACCATATGATCCAGCAATTCCGCTTTTGGGTATTTATTGGAAGAAAACAAAAACACCAATTAGAAAAGCTCTATGTGCCCCTATGTTCATTACAGCATTATTTTCAATAGCCTAGATATGGAAACAACCTAAGTGTCCAATGGTGGAGAAATGGGTGAAGGAAAAGTTATATATATATTATTCAGTCATAAAAAAGAATAAAATCATGCTGTTTTTGACAACATGGATGGGCCTCAAAGACATTATGTTAAGTGAAATAAGCTAGAAAGGGAAAAAACAAATGTCATATGATCTCACTGATAATGTGGAATAAAAAAAAAGTCAAGCTCATAGACACAGAGAACAGATTGGTGGTTCCCAGAGGCAAAGAGTTGGGGGTGGGGGAAATGAGTGAAGGGGGTATACATTTATTTTTTAAAGTATGCACTTAGTGTAGTTTATGGATAGGTAGAAGTTAGAAAGAATTTGGAATACAGTTGAAAGATAAAAATAAGAAAGATTATTTTCACAAAGACAATTCTGTGGTTTTGAGCCTGGAGATGTGATGAGGGAAAGTCTATGTCAGTTGGGAGAGTTATTTTTTTATAATTTGCATTTGGCAAGGTTAATGATCTGACAGTGTTTTGATAATTATGAAGCAAGGAAGAGGGATGTGTCACAGGATGCAAATTGCCTATCCACACAGTACCTATTATGCTCACAAGGACGATTATTTACATTTTTCTACTTTTGCCTATTTTTCATATTTCAAATTAGCAATCTTCTTCTCTGGCAAGATGAGTGTTTGGGTTAGTGTAAATGGTAATGTGAAATGGAAATAAAGAAAAGTTGCCAGTCACGGGTTCCCACAATTTAAAATGAGAGCAGCCTCTTATATGGATGACAAGCATTTTTAAGAAATTTCCCCCCCAAAGTATTATTTGCTATTTAACCATTTATTTATGATATTAATATTCTCAAGAGAATTTGTGGAAAAAAAGAGAAGTGGTCTGGATAAATCTAGAAAGTCAGGAGCCAAAAATGGAAAGGGGATCCAAGTCCACTGGAGCTAGAAATAGTTTGGTGATTTGTCTTTGGTGGCTGCACAGAAGAGATCAACTTAAAAGAAACGGCAGGTCTCGAGGTGGGTGAGAACTTACGGCAGGGTTTTACCAGCAGAAAGCTCACGGGTTATAGAGGGGACCAACAGCAGGCCAGGATCATAGCGTTAGATTTCTAGAACATCGTCTTGGGAAAGGCGTGATACAACTAGTACACAGTTATTGACCTATCATTAGTTTTGGGGTACACTCTTCTTATTTTATCATCTTTAAATCTGGAAAATCACATATTGTGTGTGTGTCTATATGATCAGCATGGTGCTTATGTAATTCAAACTTGATATAGTTCAGATTTTCTTTATCGATACTGTTGAACTTTTTTTTTAATAAAAGTTTTACTATTAAACTCTAAACAAAATGAGTACTTTGCCATGTCTAAAAGAAAGTTCATTTTGGCTGCTTCTTTAGTTACTGTGTACCAATGAAAGACAGGAGAGACAAAAACCTGCCAACCAGGAAAAGAGAGAAAAAAAACAAACTTGAAGAATAATTCCAATTTTCTGCCCTGCAGTGGCTACTGTTTTTCTCGGCGTTTATTACTTCCATCCACTCAATTTGGCTGATCCCTAGGGGGCCTACCCTTCTGCCCACTAAAACCTGGAGCTTGATTTTATTTTTCCCCTACGTACTTTCTTGGCTGTTTCTGATTTTGAGAGTTTGCAGCACTCCAACACCAAGGAAAATCAATGAAGAAAGGAAACGTTAGAATAAAACTAAGATGGGAAGGCGAATGAAAAAGCCTACAGAGCTAATCATTTTCTATATTCCGTTTATGTTTTGAAGTTTGCTTTTCATAAGTAGTATTTTCAGTAGAAAATATAAATATTCACAATGACTGGAGTCTGGACATAGATTCTTCTTAAAAGCATTTCTTACTGGATTTCCAACCCTTGTTTCTAGATGGAGAGTTACTTAGCTTGCATAATCTCACTGAGAGGTTTGAAAGCCAGATTTTTCTCAGGAAATAAGTATTTTCTGAATAAATACATTGTGGGAATGCAAATGTTTAGGCAGTTTCCCCAGAGAGATGTAACGCTGTGTAACTGCACATTTGCCACATACCAAATTCTAACAAGTCAGTACAGAGCTTTCTTTATCTCTTTGTTAACTTCCCCCTAGGTCCCACATTCCTGGGACACGCAGTCATTACTCTAAGCATTATTTGGCATCAGCATTATTTATCTATGACACTAAAATTAAAACACAACAATTCAATTAAAAAATGGGCAAAGGACCTGAATAGACACTTCTCTAAAGAGGACATGCAGATGGCTAATAGACATATGAAAAGATACTCAACGTCACTAATCATCAGAGAGATGCAAA